TTCAGGACAACATTGCTGAAGGGGAAGATTTGGGGAGGAGTTAAAGGAAAGAAAGGAAAAAGTACAGGAATAAATTAATTTAAAGTGTGCACAGAAGGAGTCAGGAAACCTGTAAACACATCCAGGGTTATAAATGATAACTTAAGCAAAGGGCTTTTAAAGATGTGAAATCCACTTGCTCTGCCAAGCAGAGCTAAAGACAAATAAAGACTTATGATCTGTGTGAGACCATTTGCTGCATGTTTGTCCTTGCCAACACTGCTGTTTTTCCACTGAGGAAAGTGGATTTTTTTTCTTCTGTGGAAAAGATAGTGGCCTGAAGTGACACCTGGAAAGCAGCTCCTGTGCTTCTGCATAGCCCTGATATATATAAAATCAAAGGTGCTCTTAATTATAAGCAAGTCTCAGACCTTGATTATTTGGAGGAGAATATTTGAGTGGTCAGCTCCTATTGCAATCTTAATCACAGCAGTAGCATAATGAAGAAATTCTTCTTCTGCATTATGTAAATATTTTTATGGGCTGTGTCAGCTCTTCTGTGAGTGAGAGCTTGTTTTAATCACTCGAGAGAGGATCTGGCTGACATAGATGCAGATCTGCTGAATATAGGAATGGTATAGTCTGGTAGAGTTGTTTTTCAGGGTGAAGTTTTCAGACCTTCCATTTATTTCCAGCTGTTCTTTTGTTTTACACCTTTGATACAGCACACCTGACAAAGAGTCAATGCTTGAAGGGAAGGCTGTATCAGACTAAGAATTAATTTGAAGAGATTAGTTTACTTCACATGTAGTACAGGACCACAGTGAGATTTTGGTCATACACTTCTAGGGTATGTGGCAGTTTTTAACAGGGAAACTGATTCAGCCACATTTAACTGGTACATTTTTACTGTTAATCATAAAACATTTTTGGGCAATGGGTTGATAATTGTCCTGTGTTGTAAGATAAGCTTGTATTCTATTTGCCATCTGTTGAAGGCAAACCTGTTGAACAGGTTTTGCTATCTCTCCCAAAGACAATGTTTTGCCCCGTAGAGGCAATGGTTTGTTTATACACTATTGACTGACTCACTGCCGGGCTGGTAAATGTAACACCATCCTATTGTGAGGGGTCCCACCCAGAGGGGGAAGCCAAGCACTCTATTATTGTATAAAGGGGTAGCTTTTTGGGGAGAGAGGCAGCTGGCTCTCTCTCTCTTCGCGGGATTCCCGGAGAAGCAGCTCTCTTCGGTGGCACTCGCAGTGAAGCAGCCGGAGCGCGCTGAGGCGACGGCGGCGGAGCTCGGAGGCAACCCCGGCGCAGAGGAAGACCGGCCCCACTGCCACCAGATCTTCAGAGGAAAACTATACCCTTCTAAAGATCACCACTGCATCTGCAATTCATCAACTACTGCAAGGGGAGCAATCGTCCCAGCAGGACTGCTACTGGCACCCCGAATCCTCAGGTTCTGGACTTTTTCACTGGTTTTGTTTGTACCGATTGCATTTGCCTTTTTAAATTGTTGTCTAGTTTTCTCATAGTAAAGAATTGTTACTCCCATTCCCATATCTTTGCCTGAGAGCCTTTTAATTTAAAGATCCTGGTAATTCAGAGGGAGGGGGGTTTGCCATTCTCCATTGCACAGGAGGCTTTGCCCTCTTTCACGGACTCCTGTCTTGTCGAACCAAGACAATAATAATCATGCTATTTACTGGTGTATTTATTATACTGTTTAACACACAGTTCCCATATCTTTAGTACAGTGTCCTTCCTTCCTGCCTCCCTCCCTTCCTCCATACCTCCCTTCCGCTGACACAGGATAAAAGAGGTTTGTGGTGAGCTGTCCAGCTTTGTGAGTTTGTTGTCATTTTCAGTGTTCCTACTGGAATGGCATCCAAACATTGTTGATACACTCTCCTCACTTTTTAAGCTGCTTTCCCCACTACCTATGGCTAACGTGGCCAACAGGTTATGCTGCAGTCAGGAGGGGAAGAGCAGTTATGCTGCAGCTGAGAATGTCACTGTTTCTTCACACTTGCAGAAACACAGGTCCCATGTCCAGGAGTTTATATGAGTTTGTACCCTACAACTTCTGCTGGGTAGGACTCAAAAACATATACAAAATCTGGCAAAAAAAAAAAAAAAAAGAAGAAAGGGACCATGTTTTGTGCAGTGCAATTTTGTGTCACACCCTGTTCTCCTGCTGCTTTTTTAATTACTTTTTCTTCTATCCAGCAAGGAGAATAATGAGAGTCACTTGCTTTCTGTTTGTTTTGTTGTTCTTCTTCCTTGAGGTTGTTTTTTTGGGGTTGGGGTTTTTTGCTGTTGTTTTTCGTTTGTTGGTTTGGTTTTTTGGTTTGTTTCTTTTTTGGAGAGCTTTTGGTTTGTTTGGGGATTTTTTCTCAGATTGTGCCTATCACCAGTGCAGGAAAAAGCTTGCTATTTTTTTCTTCTTGCTTTTTTAGTACTTACCAGTTTCCAAGGTTATGATTTTTTTCCCAGTGGGCCAACTAGACTTTTCATGGCTTGGGCAAGAGAGACATGAGAGAGGAACACAACTGACCCTGGTGGGGCTGGTACAGGCATGTGGTGGGAGTGGGAAGTTTCTGAACCTCTGTGGCTGCTCTGGTCCAGCCCTGTATTCACTCACTGCCTAGCAAAGTTTTAAAAGCTTGCACTGAATTTACTTAATGGCAGATGCCCCAAGGACACAGACATAGCATTTATCAGGTGCCAGGCAGCAAACTCTGCTACCTTAGCCAGTAGGCTGAAGAGCCACTGCTGTGTCAGGAAAACAATATTATATATAAAGCACCTATTTATAGTCTTATCTTTGTCTACAGTGAATCAGTGCAGAATGCTCAGGCTTCTACCCAAACTGCAAATTCAAAATTTTTGGGTTGAGCATACCACAGGGCAGAAAAGCAGTCTTGAGCAAGCTCTTAATCCAATATAACTGCAACTACCCACAATGAAGCTCTAGGTGATAAAGATTGCTCCTGAGCACATCCATCAGTCTCTGTGCAGCCTGATGTGGCTGCCCTTGCTGGAGCATTGACTGTTCTCTTTTCAGTGGTTTCTCTCCACAGTATCACAGGTTGGAGGCTATGGCTCTTCTCCAGGAGGTGAGTTCTGTCCTCCTACTGACAGATGCTGCCTGTGCCCTTCTCTGACCGAAACCTCCTTCCTACCTGTTTTGTATGCCAGTTCAATCATCAGTGTTCATGGCACTAAATTCTGTCTAGCCATCCATCACAAGACATTCAGGGCATCCATTATGATATGATTCATTTGAGCAATCTATGTTCATTATTAATCTTCCTTTACTGAGGGTAAAGTAATCCTGGCTTGTAAGGTCTCTTTTCTTTTCAAAGCTGTCTTTACTTTAATTGCATTTTCTGCTGGATCTGCTTGCTTTCTTGCTTCTTAGTGCTTTACAGGGTGTTGTCCCTCTTCATAACTTCTGAACTGTGCCACTCTTCCTGAAAATAATTTTGGGGATTAATATACAGACAATCACCAGTGTGGTTGTAACTTCTGAAAGTCTTCTTTGAAATATAGCTCATCTTTCACCAGGCTGAAGGGGGTAAACACCCAAATTGCAATCTTCTTTCCTAAATTCTTGCTCTCTTGCCCCTCCAGAAAGGAATTTGGAACCTTAACAGAACAAAGGTTGTGATTTTTCAACCTTTTTAGTGTTTTTTAGTGTTGATCTAAAAACTTGCACCTGTTTTCCCCACTGACTATCCAGACACTTCTGGGTGCACAGCACTGTTGAATATGTGTACCCTTGCAGGTGTAACTAAAATGTCAGTAGCTGTATTACTTCCTTTGGCTATTGAGAGCTGGATTGTTCCCTCCCTCCCATGCAGAATCAGTGCTGTGGCATTTTGATCCTCCTAGGAGCAGAAGGAACATCAGCTCGCTTTTCTTCTATCACACTGAAAGAGGCTACATTTTACGTTTTAGAGAGGAGGCGCAAGATGCGACAACAGAACTGAAAGCAAAGGAGCCGAGAATAAAAGGCAAACACCTCTCAGGAGAAAAGACAGAGTGAATACACAGAAAACTTCTGCTTGGCTGATCTGATGTTCCTCTCCCCAGCAGTGCCCTTTCTAATCACAGCACATTGTGCACGCTTGCACTGCTTTTCTCACTGGCAATTTCATTTTGGCTGTGAAATTAGCCAGGAGAGGCAGAGTGGGTAAAGGAACAGCAATCAGATTGCTCAGTAAATCTTGACTCTGCCACAAATTCACTGCTCACCTCCTGTTTGCTTCCTTTCTCATCTTTGTCATCTTTGCTTCTGAGGTACTGCCTAGGGTCCAGATGCAAACTTAGGCATCTGTGGTTCACATCCTTAGGATTGCTGCTGCAAGGTACAGCATGGCTGTGTCCAGACACTCTGTGGCTTATTCAGATCAGCACTGTCTCCATCCACCACCCTTGCACACCAAATCTTCACAGGAAATTTGGGAGGTCAGCTAGTCCATCCCCTCACCCCAGCCAAATTGTTCTTCAGTATCTTGGACTGCATATGAGCAGAATGTAACTTGGGGGAAAGCTGGTCTGGATTAGACATAGTGGATGCTATCCCCTGAAAGTGCTAACAAGTAATGAGGGTATAATCCACATGACAGGGTCAAATAAACAGAAGGGAATGTTTGGTTCCTGCTATTGTTGTAGGTCAAGTTGTAGATTTAGGCATACAGACTTAGGCACTCTGAATGTTGTGGTTGTGAAAGCCAAGAATGAGCACAGCAGCTAAAGTTTTTCAGCTACAGCAATTTCAATCTCTTAAAATTATTGTAGCTTGACTATGAATCAGCATTTAGTGTTTTTCTTTCCCTTTTCAGTTGATTAAATGTCCTCTTCTATTAAAAACCTCTTGATAAAAAATGAGACCTTCTAGCAGCTCATAAGAATATGTGTTTGGTGTTGCCACCTGCCCCCAAAAGAGAGGGCAACCCTGGTTCTTCCTTGAGGCAGATTAGAGTGAAACAACACTGAATGATTGGTGTTTATATATATGGGGGGGCAGTTTATTTTAGAACAATTTGGTTGCAATGGAAAAGAGGCATGTAGCCATTTTGGTCATTATCTATACTAACATAGCAATCTAAAAGAATAACAATATCACCCAAGAACATATATAAGGAAAAGAAAGAAAGAGAAAGGAGGGATAGGAGTAGAAAGATACCACCACCTGTGGATACAGTGATGAGACTTGATTGCTGCAATTACAATATCCTTTGGTTGAGGTGCTGGTCCCAGTCTTGATCTGTTGGGAGTTGGGGGAGTCTGGGAAACAAAAATTTGATGGGTTAATATATGTTCAGGCAAGATGAGAATAATAAGGTACCTCCCCTGGTGAGGGTGGGTGGGAAGTTTAACACAGTTACAACGCTGTGGGTCATGCTCAGTTGTCTGGTGGAAGACCCCAGAAATTAGTCTGGGGACATTTTGGGGATCTTTGTTGCTTTAGGACACTTTCTAAAGACTCTCATGCCAGTGTAGTTGAGCCAGTTGTGCTCCATCAGGAGGGATGGACGCTGTCATGCCTGTGTGTGAATGTCCCAATACCTTCCCAGGGGCACAGGAGGAAATTTTAGAACTGTTGTGTAATTGCAATTTTGTGTCATTTGCATGATAAAAGCACTATCCAGCCTATGAAGGACCTGTTTCTTACTGGCCTCTTCCCTTATCTGGTTCAAAACCCTGCTTGTAGCCTCTTGTGGTGGCTGTTCCCTCACTCTGTCCTATGTGGACCAGAGGTTTTGCCACCACACTCAAAAAACTCTCCTCCTCCCCATGGGTTTGGGTTTCGGTTTTGGGGAGGTGCAAACCTGGCCTCAGCAAGGCACCTGCTGCATCCCACATGGCCCTTTGTTTGGGTCATTAACCATTAACACTTTGGTCTCCCACAGATGGTAAATAGAATTACAACTCTGAGCAGGAATACTGCAGATAGCATACAGCAAGTAGCATGGCACGGGAAGCAGGTTAAAATACTGTGTAATACTATCAGGTGAATTCCTAGAAGACAATCAGAGGAGCTGGCTGAGGTAATCACTGAGTGACAAATGCAGAAAGACAGAAATATATCACATGTACAACTGTAAAATCTATAAGCAACTTTGTCCATTTAATGTGCTCTGGCCTGAGCTCCAGCAATGCCCTGTTTACAGTAGGCAGACTGTGTGCACTGCAGACTCAGCTCGGGAAGGTTCCTTTTGTCTTCCATGGATGACAACCTTCATTCAAAATGCACTAAGCTCACAATAATTTCCCTTATTCTAGTGCCTGCTTCCTCGCATATTAAAATCCTCAACTGGTTCAGTTGGCAATGAGAGCACGTCTTCCAGATGACAATATCTGTGGTATAGACACAGCCTCGAGAATGCTGAAATCAACCCAAGTGCCAGAGCTGCTCTTTAAAATATTAAATACACAAATATTCTACAAATAGTATTCTAGCTGGGAATAATAATCAAGTAGTGCATGGCAGAGGCAGACAATTTGCACCCTTTCCATATGAGCTGTTTTGCTGTAACTTCCAGATGCCAAATAAATTATTAATCAAATCTGAAAAATACTCTGAAGCCTTCCTTCCTGAGAGGAAGGGTGATGTTAGTCACCAGATGAATTTGGCATGTAAAATCACATTTCCATGAAATAACTGGTCAACATTTTCACCACCATTTTGTTGTGTTCAGAGTTTTACTTGCCTAACTTAGAATATGTTGCAGGTGTGCACTAATTCCTTCTTTTTCAGTGGCACCACTGATGATGTACATTTGCCCTGCCATTGGCATGGTGACACACATAGACACAATCTATAGTGCAGATGGCAGAACTGCACAGGGTGTTGACAAAGCTTTAGAAATCACAGGAGAAAACCCCTGTGGATCTTTGTGTTTTGAGTTGGATTTTATTTGTTTGTAGTTTTTGGGTTTTTTTCATTTGAGCTGTGATTAATGGCTGTGTCAGAAGTCACAAACGGAAGGATGCAGTTGTGAACACTCCTACATTGACTTCAGGACAAAGTGATAGAGAAAAGGAGACATTTCTGCTATTTTTATGACTGAAAAAATCAAATGCTTTCCCTACTGATTCTCTGCTACTTTCTTTTAAAACATATTTAGAGCAATCTTTTATGTGTCCAATTCTAACCTGAATATTTTTTGTCAATAGAGATACCTCTCTGTAACCAGAATGCACAAAGACACCCACAAATACATTCACACACAACATATCTTGAGAATCATAATACTATTTCTTCGCTCCTCTGCATGTCTCCAGCTCCCAGTATATCAGAATCATCTCTTGGCATCTGGCTAAGTGATAAAAAATCAGGCTCAGCTGCTATGATCCAGAGCCAGGAGGAATCTTTAGTCCATACCTAGCTGCTAACCCATCCTCTAATTAGCCAAGTGTGTATAGGGTCTCATTTCCTAATGAACCGAGTCACTGGGAAATCAGATGCAATCCCAGCAAAGCAGTACCAATTAATTTTCTTTCCCCTTTCTCCAATCAGATCATGGTATAGTGCCTCTGTCTTCAGTGTGACCATCACCCCATTTTAATAGGTACTGTATAAAAGAAAAGGCTCTGTCTCAAACAAATAAACCACATATAAATTAGGAGGTAACACATGGTAACCAGAGTGAAATAGTAATATCAGGCTGTCAGAAAGGATTTTTGGTGTGCAGTTGCCTGCCCACTGTCAAGATTTCTGTGACAAAAGCTACATTTTCCAATTTGTTCTTTACAGCATAAATACAAATAGTTGGTGAGGATAAAGGAAACCCAGAGACCCCTAGATTAAATCACACTGAATAAGACCTTGCATAAAGAGCATAAGCTGGCAAAAGATTGTGACATGTTTTTGATCCCCCCTCTTCAAAGAGAAAAATATCCCCCATAATTAATGACTGGTGGTATCAATGTAACACAAGACTTTTATGTCTTCAAACTCAGTTCTGCCCAGAAGGCTGTGATGCACAGGAGTGTATATCCAGACCAACACAGACCTTTTCAGTGAATGAAGACACCAAATCCATCTCTTGTACAAGCACATCTGCTGGTTTGACCATTACTCCCAGGAAGTAGCCAAGCAGTTGAAGCTGGTTCCTAGCAATAGAAGACATATTAGAAACAAGGCAACATAAGTCAGTAGAATGCAAATTAAAATTGAAAGTTTGGGTTTCCCTTTATATTTCTTCTGTGTGAAAGAGAAGGTTTCATCAGCCAAACAGAAGCTCTCTCTGCTGCTTGCAAAGGCACTGGGGATCACACAGCTGGAAGAACATCTCCTTCACAGGAATTGAACACAGGGAAAGCTCTTCATCCTGCATTGTTGTCTGCTGTACACTGTTTACTGTGGGCATGTATTCATGTTCTGTATAATCCTCAATGACCTTTCAAAAGACACTGTCCTTTATCATAGAAGATATAAAGATCTATTTTTCATGTGATCCAAAGCACAAAGAATGTCATTCAAAATGGATCATGAGACACCCATTTGTGAAATCAATGTAAGTATGCCATCCAATTTTTTGCTTGTTTAGGTGATTAATTTGCCTATATTATATGGTACACAGGTGTGATAAACAATGGCTTTTCTCTCTTGCAATGTTATTTTCTGTTACCGCTGTGTTCTAAGAGGTCTATAAATAGGCACATATGACACATAAATGTTCTTCCAGAAATAGACCAAGGAAGAGACTTCCTGAACAGAAACTTCTTGGCATTTCAATTTCATGAAATACAATACTCAAGTTGATCCTTGACCTGAGAATGATAAAGAAAAAAAAACAAGGGCCAAATTCAATGTTTTAGGCGTCTCAAAGGCCATGGAAGTGAGTTTCCAGACTTCATGTGAGCTTGAAGAGGCTCTAGTTTTGCATTGACCTTGCTGACAAATGAGCAAGGTAAAAGTTGCAAGGTGCAAGATTGGCATTTTGTTATGATGACTTTTAATTGGTAAATTTTGTGTTGAACAGCAGCATAATAGTGAGAAAATACTTCTTGTAAATCCACAAAGAATAGCAGTCTGTTGAAGCTGCAAAGAAAATATATAGCAACATTTTCCAAAACAGCTTAGAATAATTTAACTACAGATGCAGTACACAGGGATGATTTTAGTAGGATGACTTAGGGACTCTTAAACCTCAGTTACTACCTTCCCTTTTCCACTGGCACCTCTTGCATGCATGAGCTTCCTCTGGAGAGGGCACATGGGCAGCCCTGCTGCCTTTCACTGGTTGTCAGTGCATAAGATAAATGGGCTTTGACCCAATGGGGAAAATGGAAAAACTCTCATTTCAAGGTGATTTTTTCCATGGAGTTCTCCTTGAAGAGGCAATGAAATGGTATCTGTGATTGCCTCTCTGCTCTGATCATCCTATTGTACCAAATTGCAATAAAACATAGACATGCACCCTTAGAAGTCTCCATATGCAAGTTCTACAAGGAAATGCAGGTCTGTGTGCTCCATGGACTTCCTTACTTGCCTCCAGGTTTTAAGCAGAATTGATTCAGATCTGAACTGAAGGCTCTTCCTGTGCCTATTAATCACCATTCCTCACACAGGGTTTTTGCAGCTGCCACTACATACATTCCTTGGGCACCAATCCACCTTTCTGCACCTCCCAAAGTCATGCCATAATCACTAGTAATGATTTTTCATCCTAGGTGGTAGGACAAATCTTCTAGGGCAGCTATAAGTGATAACTAACTCACATAATTATCCTGACACTTCACTGCACTCTCAGTCTGTTGACTAGTAGTTTAAATTACTGATGATACTTTAGTAATATTCAGATCAATCAACTTTCTGACCAAGACATCATGTATATCATGTCATAGAACATAGAACCAGAAGAAGCCACAGTGATCATCTCTTCTGATCCATGAAGAAGTCTTAGGATCAAGACCTGAGTCCAAAATGAACTACAACATATCCTGTACAAACTTATCCTGTGTTTGCAGAGATGAATAACTTAACTTGCAAGCCTTGGGAAGCTGCTCCAACGTTACTCAGGAAAGTGGCTGGGATGAGATCATTTTGTGTGAAAAAATCCTTTTGAATTTGTAATTACTATGTAATTTGAAATGTCTTTAAAAATAAGATAAAAGGGAAGCATTCATATGCAAGGGGAGTAGTGTATAGAGAATGCAGATTTCCTTTTATGTCCCTATTACTCTGTTTGATCCTCTTCAGTTTCTATAATTGCCTTCTATGTGATTATCTTCAGCACAATACATTTTCACTTCAGTGCAGACTAAAATTGTATTGTAATACTGTGGCTGCTTAGTCTTCAGTACCTCTTTAATAAATTCATAGTCAGCAGCAGCATTATTTGGTAAATAATATAAAACCATGACAGGTTTGCTTAAAGCAGAAAAAACCTCAGGATGACTGAGGTGTAAGAAACAGCTCTGAATGAGCAATTCAAATGGAGGCGGCATTTAAATAATCAACTTCCTTTTGATAGGATTTTCCTGCTGCAGTGGAAGAAAGGAAAAATGAATAATAACTAAAACTCTCTTTCTTGCCTGAGCTGTCTCTGACTGCATGAAATAAAGAGCTTCAGTTCAGGAAAGGAATGGCACTCAAACTATCCTCATAGCTGAAGAAGATCTTTATACAGGAAAAGGAGAAGGAGGTAAAGGGGCCTAGGCTCTGGGAAAAGGAGGATGGGGGTGTGAGCTTTTATACCTGTGCTGATGATCTAAACAAGGAGATCAAGTGCACACCCAGTAAAATTGTAAACGGCACCAAGTTCGGCAGGAGTCTTGATTTGCTGGATGGCAGGAAGGCCCTGCACAGGGATCTGGACAGGCTGGATGGATCAGTCAAGACCAATTGTATGAGGTTCAACAAGGCCAAGGGCCAGGTCCCACACTGGGGTCACAACAAGCCCAGGCAGCACTGCAGGCTGGGGGCAGTGGCTGGAAAGCTGCCAGATGGAAAAGGACCTGGCTGTGCTGGTCAAGAGCAGCTGAACGTGCCCCAGGGTGTGCCCAGGTGTCCAAGGAGGCCGATGGCACCCTGGCCTGATCAGCACTGCTGTGCCAGCAGGAGCAGGGCAGTGACCGTCCCCCTGCACTCAGCACTGCTGAGGCCACACCTCCAACCCTGGGCTCAGTTCTGGGCCCCTCACTGCAAGAAAGACATTGAGGGGCTGGAGCGTGTCCAGAGAGGGGCAGCGGGGCTGGGGAAGGGGCTGGAGCACAAGGGCTGTGAGGAGCAGCTGAGGGAGCTGGGGGGGTCAGCCTGGAGAACAGGAGGCTCGGGGGGACCTCACTGCTCTCTGCAGCTGCCCAAAAGGAGGGTGCAGCCAGGTGGGGGTCGTTCTCTTCTCTCAGGCTACAAGTGACAGGAGAAGAGGAAATAGGTTGCACCAGTGGAGGTTTTAATTAGATACTAAGGAAAATTTCTTCATGGAAAGGGTTGTGAGGCTTTGAAACAGACTGCTCAAAAAGTGGCAGAGTCACCATCCCTGGAGGTGTTTAAAAGACACGTAGATGTGGCACTTGGGGACTTGGTTTTGTGGTGGACCTGACAGTGCTGGGTTAATGGTTGGACTCAATAATTTTTAAGGTCTTTTTCAACCTAAACAATTGTATGACTCTCTTTGGCACCACAGTACCTTCACCACCTTTGAGGCACCCATGCCAACTATGCTGCCCAGCATCTGCCATACTGCTTCAAAACTACTCATAGGTAATTAATGTTTTCCAGCACCAGGACTGGGATGAGGGCTGTAAGTCTTCCAGAAAGGACACTCAAACAGGTGGAAATAAAAAGGAAGGGAAAGGTAGGTATATGTCTCAGCTACAGCGTGAACATGCTTCACAAAACTTAGCCAGTGCAGCTAATAATAAAAAGCAGCAGCAGCCATCTCCAGTGCTGCCCACCTAGTCAGTGACAATGCACATGGGATTTAGTCACACATCTGCTGCAGGAAGCCACACAAATCACACCATGTTCACTTAGGCAAATAGGAGATAGCCATCCCCTTTAAATACGAAGTGTGTCATACTGTATGAACCATCCAAAAATAGGATAAACTCAAAAACTGTCTTTTGAATTGTCTTCTGCTTGACTGGAAACTGGGGGAAGAGCAGTTGGCTGTGAAGCAAACTCCTTTGTTGCAGAGACCTAAAGAAAGGCCATTCCATGACCCATTTATATAAATCAAGACATATGGCAATACTCAGCATTTTCTCCTAACGCTGTTAATTGAGAATTGACCGTTCACTGGGTAACACTTAAAAAAATAATTCTTATCTCTTATAAATTACAAACTGAGGACTATTTATATCTTCAGCTTACTATTACTGCATAATTGAATTTCATCCTAATCCTCTTTGCATTTGGAAATTTGCTTAAAAAATAATGAAAAAGAAAAAGTATATTAAGGCACATGGCTGGGAATAAGACTAAGAAGACATACTAGAAAATATTGATGAGAAATGCAGACTGTGTGTCTTTGCAGTCAAATGCCTAGCAGTATATGACTGAATGGTAATCCTGGTTCTTGAACACTATATTTACAGAAGTCATTACAGGAAAGCAAACACATGCACACAAACACACACAACATTCACATAACATAAACACACACAACATACACATAACATACACACACACACACACAACAAAAATACCCTTTGAAAATCAGCCTGGTTTAAAGGAATAGGAGTTAAAAGCCCTCCCTTTAAGAGTCCAATAGAAGAGAAAACATAGGAACTGACTGAGCTTGCCAAATCTTGATAGTGCTTTACTGGCCCTATGTCTCTGGTCTCTGACTGTGGCAGAATACTTTTTCAAGAGCATTTCCAATTTCTTCTACAACTTCAAAGAGGATGTTCTGGGCAAAAAGGGACAGAACTCTACCTTCCTTGTTTTCTGTGAAATCTGGAAGGGGAAACTATTTTTGGATGACTTCCAAGGGTGTGACATATTTAGCTCAGTCTTGCCCAGGAGACTTTTATATGGTTATGACTGAATTCTTCCCCAAAAAGGAAAAAAAAGAAACAGGACCAGGGTCTAAAGACATGGAAAGGTTGGCACAAATGGCTGTGGACAAAAATGGCTTG